CGACATCCTTCTGGGTCACAGCAAGGACAAGGGTCACCCAAAACCTGACCGGCTTGCCCTGACCCACACCCACGCTGGTGGGACGGGCGCAGCTCAGGGGACCACGGAAGGGCAGCTCGTGCAGCCACAGGTCCCACACGCGCCGTGCTTGTGAAATCGCTCGGAAAGGGAAGCGTTTCACACGCCGACCGCTCCGACGGAAAACAGCGACCCAGCACTCAACGACGACAGCCGCCCCCGCGTCCCGGACGTCCTGCGGACAACGCTGTTCGAAACGTGCGAGAGAAAGGAGGAAAAACAAGACCTGCTTCTTATTCTCTGGAAGATCTTCTTCCATCGGCTCTGGCTTGGTGTCCTTCTTGGGAGGCGGCGGCGGAGGCGGCGCGGCCACTTCCTCGTCCTCATCCATGCTGCCCAGGTCGACCCCCAGCAGGACGCTGAGCGTCGTCATGATCCGGGGATCCTGCAGTTTCCTAGCAGTGGTTTAAAAACAAAAGAGAAAAAAAAGAAAAGAAAAGCACAATGATTTATTATTTCTCCTCACAACTGATTTCAGTATTAGGTTTTCAAATAAGAATTCAGTGGAATAACTCTCATCACTTCTTTGGAAACAGCGACTTTTTTCTTTTTAAGTTTATTCGAAAGAGAGAGACAGAAGGCGCACAGGTGTGTGCAGGGGAGAGACACACAAGGAGAGAAAAACCCAAGCAGGCTCCGCGCCCGTCAGCACAGAGCACAGAGCCCGAAGCGGGGCTCGAACGCACAACGCCAGGATCATGTACCTGAGCTGAAATCAAGTCAGACGCCTGACTGAGTCACCCAGGCAGCCCTGCCCACAACGGAGCTTAAACCCACATTTGCCGCTAAACCTCAGATTACCGTGTAAGAGAGCTGCTCACCCGCAGAAAAAACTGCGAGATTCTGCACCAGCCATGAGGTACCACCGGGGAATACTCAACCCTTCAAAAATCCATTCCCGATGAGCTAACAGACGTCAAATTTACTTCTCGAAGCCAGGAGACACAAAGAGGGACGGGATCTCAGAAGTCAGAGATTCAGAGTCACAAATACCAGTATGACTAAGAGACGCATCTTTACACCTGACACTCTCTTCCACCATGACCTTCCACTGCAACATCCCAGGAGACAGCGTCTGATACGTATGGAAAGGATAGACTTGGTGCCAGATCAGAATTATAGGAGAGCAGCAAAGAGGCACTTGAAGGTTAGGAATGAAGATTCCAAATTATTCCGACACATGTCCTCTTTAACCCTTTCCAGAAAGACAAACCAACAAATACCTACCGCTCACTGGAGAAAAACAAAGGAACACCTCTACACACACACACAGGATCCCAGAAAAGAAGTACCACGTTCACACCCATTTCCAGAGACAACAGTGCTGTCTCAACTTACGTGCCCAGGTCGGACGGTTTGCTTCTCAGTTGTTCTATCAGTTCCCGGTAGGTAGGATCAGCGAGCAGTGTCCTCGTCCTGGGGTCGCTCTCCAACTTCTGGTACAGATTGGGCATGTTGAAAGGGTTCATGAACTTCCTCTCTGTTCCGAACAAAGGGAAGCACATGATGAAAAGTCAGTTCACTTGAGTTTTATGCCCCCTAGTCCACCAGACATTTGGAGGGAGCCTCAAAGTTAATCCCATTAAAAAAATTTCAAGGTGCGTTTCGGGGTGCTTGGGTGGCTCGGTCGGTTAAGCATCCAACTTCGGCTCAGGTTGT